GCGGTATTTGATGTCCGGGACAAATATTAGACGATTCCACGACGGATCCATCCGGGCCCAAGGTGGAAGGCATGGGCTATAGCACACAAAAATTTGGGACTCGCGCGGATTTGCAGTTTTATGGCTGTAAAATGCCACTAAAATCAGCCACGAAATCAGCTAACACTTGAGATTTTATAGTAGTTCTAGGTTGGTAGGTGATATCATATTCACTTAATTCTATAGCCCATTTAGCTAACCTACCTGACAATTTATGCTTATGAAATATATTGCGTAATGGATAAGCAGTTACTACAGCAATAGGATGACATTGAAAATAAGGCCTTAATTTTCTAGATGTCATGATTAATGCAAGTCCATGCTTTTCCAATTGAGGGTACCGTGTCTCTGCATCTAACAAAGATTTGCTAACATAATAGATCAGAGATTGTTTACCTTGGTCCTCACGGACTAAAACAGTACTTACCGTTACTTCTTAAACAGCAAGGTAGATGAACAGTCTTTCTCCAGCCTTTGGTTTTGCGAGCAATGGTGGATTTGATAAGTATGTCTTCAAATTTTTGAGTGCCTACTAACATTCCTCGTTCCATTCAAAGTGGTCTTGCTTTTTAAGAGCTGAAAAGAATTTAAAGCACTTTTCTGATAATTTAGAAATGAATCTTCCCAAGGTTGCAATTCTTTCTGTCAACCTCTGCACTTCTTTTTTGCTTGAAGCATATGAGAAATTTCTTCAATGGCCTTAATCTGTGCGGGATTCACTTCAATACCACGGTTAGAAACAAGAAAACCCAAAAACTTACCTGACGCGACACCAAATGCACATTTCTCCGTATTTAATTTCATATTAAATTTGAGCAAAATCTGGAATGTATCAGACAAGTGTGATATATGGTCTCTCGAATACTGAGTTTTAACGAGCATATCGTCTATATAAACCTCCATGGTGTTTCCTAGATGTTCTTGAAATATTTTAGTAACCAGCCTTTGATATGTGCACTAGCATTTTTGAGACCAAAAGGTATTACTTTATAACAGTAAGTCCCCCTGTCTGTTATGAATGAAGTTTTTTTCTCATCTATCGGATCCATTTTGATCTGATTGTACCCTGAATATGCATCTAAAAAACTTAATAGTTCATGCCCTGTAGTAGTATCAATTAGCTGATCTATATGTGGTAGTGGAAAGAATCTGTAGGACAAGCTTTATTAAGGTTTGTGTAATCCACACAAACTCGCCACTTACCATTCTTCTTTGGAACTACAATAGTATTGGCTAACCAATTAGGATACTTTACCTCGCGGATGGATCCAATCTTTAGCAATTTTTGAACCTCTTCTTGAATCACCTGATTCTTGAAAGTTCTTTTCTTTCTTTTCTTTTGTTTGACAGGAGGGTACGTTGGGTCTTCATTCAATTTGTGAGTCATTACCTCCGGTGGTATTCCTGTCATGTCAGAGTGGGACCAAGAAAAACAGTCCATGTTAGTTTTCAAAAATTCAATTAACTTACCTCTCATGCCTTGGCTTAGATTGGCCCCTACGTAGACTTTCTTATCAAGCCATTGTGTAAATAACATCACAGCCTCCAGTTCTTCAATTGTTGTTTTGATATTTTTGTTTTCTTTTGGTTCTTGAATGGTATCAGGCCTTGAATCCACATCTGTCCGCCCTTGTTCAGTTGAGGTTTGTGTTGTGGTGCCCTCAACTATCTTCTGTGATTGCTATTTTTCTTCTTTTTTCGTACTTGAATCTGCTACAGAGTTGATTCTCTTAGATGTATGTTGATCCCCGCGGATTTGACATATTCCCTATGGTGATGGAAATTTAATAACTTGATGCAAGGTTGAAGGAACGACATCCATTTCATGGATCCATGGTCTCCCAAGGATCATATTGTAAGTCATCTCCATATCTACTACTTGAAACTTTGTATCTTTGACAACTCCTTCTGCGAATGTGGTGAGTGTTACCTCTCCGTTCGTCACAACACTAGAATTGTCAAATCCAGATAAAGTATGCATCTTTGGTATTAATTTATCCTCAGCTTGCATCTCTTGTAATACTCTTAGCAAAATAATGTTCACGGAACTACTTGGATCAATCAAAACTCGTTTCACATTAGTATTATGTACAATTAAAGATATTACCAAGGCATCGTTATGAGAAGATAATACGCCATCCGCATCAACATCATCAAATGTAAGGCTGTCTTCCTCTAATACATGTCGCACCCGTTTCCCTTGGGTAATTATGACTTTGGAAATTTTATTAGCTGCAGTGTACGTTACGCCATTGATGTCTTCACCCCCGCTTATAACGTTGACGGTCCTTTTGGGAGAAGGTGGTTTAGTGGGTTCCTGTCTATTTTTCATATAAGCTTGCTTACCTTTCTCACTGAATAACTCGGTGAGATACCCTTGTTTTAATAAATGATCAACTTCACTTTGTAAAAATCTATAGTGCGTTGTTTTATGCTCGTGATCATTATGAAACTCATACCAATGATCAGGGTTGCGCCTGTTTGGATTAGATCTCATCTCTTTTGGCCACCGTACCTTGTCACCCATGCTTCTCAAAACAACTACGAGCTCGGAAGTGCTCATATTGAAATTGTAACCGCCAAATCTCGCCTTCAAATTTCTATCATCATCTCGTGACTCATGGGTGTTTCGATCATTCCTAAATCTTGATGAAAAGCATGACTCTCTATTCCTTGATCTGTGATCATACCTTTGATTGTCCTGTTTTGACCGTGAATCTTTTCCCGCAGGTCCCATGTATGACTCGTACCTATTTTTACCGGACCTTTTTTCGGTTTCCGCCCGTCTCGAACTTACTTTTTCTTCTTTTTGGAATTGTGGAACAGTATCTTCTTCTATCCTTAGCTTTGTGCTATACATGTTGTAAACGTCATTCCATGTTGTAGCTGATAATTCACGAAGACTTTCCTTGAGTCACCTCATAGCTTCTGAGCTCTTTTCATTCAAATTACTTGTGAAAGCTATAGCTGCCCAATTATCAGGTACACATGGTAATGTTATTCTTTCACGTTGGAATCTGTCCACAAACTCCCTAAGCAATTCCGAGTCCCTTTGCTTGATCTTGAAAATATCTTCCATTCTTTTTCGACTTTTTGAGCTCCTGAGTGTGCTTTGATGAAAGAATCTGCAAGCTCGGCAAAAGAATTTATAGAATTTTCGGGTAAAAGAGAAAACCATGTTAATGCACTCTTGGTGAGTGTTTCACCGATTTTTTTGACTAATACTGATTCAATCTCCTACTTGGTCAAGTCGTTGCCTTTTACGCCTGTTGTGAATGCAGTCACGTGGTCTCGTGGGTCTGTTGTTCCATCGTATTTTGGAATATCAGGCATTTTGAATTTCTTTGGAATTGGAAGGGGAGCAGCAGTTGGCTTCCAGGGTTGTTGCGAATATTTATCCGTATCTAACCCTTTGATTACGGGTGGCACCCCGGGTATTTTCTCTATACGGTCACTTTGCTCCTTGAGCTATTTCTATAATGTTAGTACTAAATTTTGTAAATCAGAATTGACTAAGTTACCTGGTTCTCCCTCATGTGATTCACTGGGGGTTCCACCGCTACCTGAATTTACAAGCCCGGAACGAGGGTTCTCCAAAGTGTTGTTATTTGGAGTGGTGTGGGTGGTGCAGCAGGTAACTGGCTAGCAAAAGACTCAAGAGCTTTATTGACCTGTGCAACAATTAGTTTCTGCAAAGTTTCATCGATAACTTCAATATTTTCAAATTGAGCGTTTCCATTTGTATGAGATCTATCAGGAGAGCCTTCACGAGACCGCCGAGGAAAGCCTCGTGGAGAAAGGACCGGGGTTTGATTACCCTGTGGATTTCCTTGAATGTTGTCATTGTTGTTCGACATGGTTGATGCAACAAGGAAAGTTAAGCTAAAAGAGGATAGATTATCAAATTCCCAGTAACGGAACCAATTTGTTTAACCAAAAAATGGGATTTCGGTCAAAGCTTTAATTTAGAAGAACTCGGGTTACTGATAATCAAAAGAATATATGAAAGAAAGTAATTTGGCTAGCAATAAGATAATCAGAAAAAAAAAAGCAAGTAAATCGGTACATTCAGATAATATTTTGTGTCCCTACAATTGATCCGTTCTCTCCCTTTTATAGCTACTTTGGAGATATGCGTTTTGTCTTTGTCATAATAAGGCCATTATGGACAATTAAAGACATTAAATGTTACGTTACATAATCAATGCATTTAATACAGATTCTCTAACGTTTTTAGTATTTAAGGCTTATTAAATACTGTATCTGTACTACCATGTAGTGTCATATTCATTCTCCTTGATTCTTGGACTTAAATAAGTACGAGCGCCGAGTCTTTTGGATAACTGCTCGTGCCTCTTCCTTTACCTCTGCTCGTATTTGTTGCAACTCGTGCCTCTTTGCCAGTTGTAACTCTTTGACCAGTCTATGTGTCATGACACGTCATCTTTACACCACTTTAATATGTAAACTCAAATTTTTCCAATACAAAGTTACCCTTAGTTTGCCAAATCCCAAAGTTGTAATACAATATAGCACATGTGCAACTGCTAATACAAAGATAAAAAAGTGGAGCTGGTGAATTGCGTATTTTGAAGCAAATTGGATTTTTCCCTGCATTTAAATCAGGATAAAACAGAAGTTAACAATCCATCAACCTAAATAGCCGCTCACCCGATCACTTAAATTTAAAATAGCCAGCAAATGTATATTATATATATAATTTATTTATAATATGTGTCTGATCGTGTATCAACGCATAATTTATATATACATACTAGAAAAAGTAAACAGAAAATCTAACCAATTATTTGTGTAAAGATCCCATTTTTATATGGTCATGTCAGATTAATAACAATATAATTATCCGGCTTAAACAAAAAGCCCTCATATCTATATAAGGCATTTCTCCGGGTTAATTTTTACATGATTGCTAAATTCTATCTACTATAATAAATTATGAAATAATCGTTTGTCCTATTAAATAATTGAATCTATATAACTATAATAAGAATAATAAAGTCATAGAATTATTCATTGTAATATTAAAGTAGCTAAATTTACCCATTATAACACCAAAGTTACTAAACTTTACTCGTAGAACAGTAAAGTCACCTTTATGAATAGATTTTGTCTAATAATGAGTATAGTTTCACTCTACTCTAACGTAACGAAAAAATAGAGTTTTACTGTTATAATAGATAAAATAATTTAATGACTTTACTGTTATAATGATTAAATTTTAATTACTTTAATATGACAAAATATAATTTAATAATTTTGAATAAAGTTCAACGACCATACGAAAAATAAAATCATGAATATTTAGGAAACAAAGATTGAAAAAACACCTTGGTTCTACATGGGTCGAGATATTGGGCATCAATAAGTTTGTTTATGTGACATGGATGCCAAGAGCGTCCAACACTCTTTGGGACACATATCTTAGACACAGGATGTTGTACAACCGCCAACAATAATGATATGAACCCCAATAACATTAGTTCTGCCATCCAATTTAATTAAAATACATCTGTCACGTCAAAGGCAAATGAAATACTATATTTAAACTAGGGGTGATCTAATTGAACCGGAAAACCGCACCAAACCGAAAAACCAAATCAAACCGATTAAAAAACCCGATTAGGTTTGATTTGACTTGGTTTGGTATTGAGTAAAAAAATTCGAACCAAACCGACATATAAATATATAAATTTTATTTATATTTTTAATATTTTATAGTGATTTTTCTTTAGAAAATGTAGAAATATTTGGGATCCTCTCATGTATTAACCTTGAAAGCGTAAATTAACGAAAAATTATTGTTAGACGACTAAGAAAATAACTATCATATGTTACTAAAAAAATTCTCCCATTAAAATATTTTAATAGATCATATGTTTGTCAATTTTTTCCATATTTACTAAATATATATTCACTTATCAAAGCTTTATCTATAATTTTAATAAAGTAAGATTGAAATAATATTCATTTAATAAAAAATCCGAAAATCCGAAAAACCCGACAAAACCGGACCAATCCAAACCGATATAGTTGATTTGGTTTTGTTTTAATAAAAATCGAACCAACCCGGTCCATATACACCCCTAATTTAAACATACAATTCTTTTTACCTGACTTGATCTTCTCAAGTGCTTCATACAGTGGTTTCTTTTGTTTCTTCCATAACCACTGTAAAAGATGCAAAGATGTTATGTTATCATGTATAGAAATGCCAACCAAAAATGGTGCCCGAAGAGAAAAATCAAAAAGGTTAACCTACCGTGCAAGTATGCAATTAGCATTATTCCATCCATCTCAAGTTTTTTCCTTTTTGCCATTCGTCAATTGTTGATATATTTGACCAACTTTCAAAAATTAATAATATGTAATATTCCATCAATTTCAAAAAGGATGAACTTATTTTTTTTTTAGTCAATTTTTATAATAAGAATGAACCCTTTTTAAATTTAGAAATAATTTTACTTTAAAACTACCGTTTTACTTTTAATGCGATAATTTATAGCCACACAAATATCTATGGATTATTTTAGACCACAAGTATCAAAAAAAAAATTCTTGTTAAACTCCTTGTCTAGTCTAATAGGTTCAACTAAATTAAAACGGACTAAGTAGTTGTAACTTTCACATAAAAATAACAAAAGTATGGCCTACGTTTTATTAATTGAATCGTAATAGCTTGGGTCCTATTTATTTTTGCAATTTTGATGTACTGGTTTAGACTCTTGTCTATTTTGTTTTCGTAATAATGTTTCTACTAATGAATTCAACCACCTCGTTGTTCTACACTTTTTTAATATAAAAATATAAGAAAACGACAGAAATGTAGTATAGTCGTTTGATTTTATAAATTAATATGGTGATATTTGATTGGATATGAAATTAAAGAAATAAATAAATAAAAGTAGAACTTGTGGCCTTAAATATGCGATTTTTTCTATAAGTAATGGTTAAATTGTTTAAAGTTAAAATATTTTCAAATATAAAAATATAATATGTTATTATTTTTTGTAAGCATACTAAAAACGATACTCCTAATATACATCAAATAGAACAAAGGGAGTAACCAAATGTAAATAAATTGCAATAAAAGATACTCCTCATATAGATTGACTCTTGGAAGTGAGATGATAAATATTTTAGGATAAATAAGATTGATAAAGCATTGACTGAAACTTGTAATTAAGTTCAAAAGTGTTCTCATGTAACGCGCAACTTGACATACAAACAAAGTTGGGTATTCCACGGCGTACCACATACTTTTTTGTAATCATGATATTATACTAGGAATATTTACCTAAAATTTAAATTGCTATATAAGTAATTTTTAAGTTGTACCCTTAACCTTTCTTCGTAAATGACTCCTAAAAGTTCACTAGGCAAGGAGAAAGTCGTGAAATGATTGACATCTTTCATCTTTAATCAGAAATATATTTTTTAATAATTAGAAGATGAAACTTTATCTCCTTAATAGACATATCTGGCGCAAATTCAAATTAGTCGCCTTGGACTACTGACACAAAATGGTCAATAAAAAAAAAGAAAGGAAAAAATTCTTTACCTCTCCAAGATGATGAATGATTTGTTCAATGAAAATGGAGATGGCAACTAATATGAAGCAAACCACAGCGACAGCCCATGTTGGTGGTTTGTCCAGTGGACATTCATCACAATTCACAAGTAGTAATACAGCACGTTGAAACCATATGAGATTCAAATCTTTTACATATTAATTGCTTACTCTTTCATAGTTCAGGACTTTATCTGGTTTTGGGAAGATAAAGGGAGGTTTAATTGTGTTGGTACAAATGCAAATGCTTATATAGAGAACAAGTTGTTGATTTTTCTATACTGAGTCAAAGAAGTCACTCGTATGGTCAACACGTGATGACCTTGCATTTAGGGCTATCTCTAAGACTTAGGGTTAATGGAATTATGAAAATAATTGCGGTATAAAATTTGATACATTATTTTCTACTTTATCTGTTTGTATTTCTACTCTAGGTATGAGTAATACTGGAATCATGATATAGTTTTATACCGCATCAATCCATTGGAGATAACAATTTAAGGATTTATTATGCTTGAATAAAACAAGTAAAAGGATGGAATTTCCTTTTTGACCATTTTCTTTCTTCTAAAGGGTAATTGGGAGTAAAAAGATTTATTCTATTAGTGTGAGCGCCTAATTTTGACCATGCTGTAACTTTTTTCACTCTCCCTTACTAAATAAACTAATCACAACACAAAGTCAAAAAGGGAGGAGGAAAAACAACACGGAAGAATGGGAGATTTGCTTTTGAAAAGATGAAAAATAACAAAAGTCAAAAGGGAGGAGGAAAGAGGGGGACAACATGAGAAAAAAGGGGGCATTTTGAAAATGAGGAAAAGAACGTTGAAAAAATAGGAAAGAATTTTGAAAAATTGGAAAAGCAATTTGAGAAGGAGAAAAATGGAGCACCGAAATTTGATTATTTTTGGACCATAGCTTCACCACGTTTTTCTTCTTTCTATTTTGGTTCTTTATATCAATCGGAAAAAAATCACCTTAAAAAAAGGAGGACACTCTATCTTACATTACAGAGAGATATACACACAAAAAGAGAGAAAAATCAGTAGTTATAGGATCCTTTAGCAGCTGCAATTTAAGAGCTTTGTGATTATTATTTGAGTGCAAAAACATATAAAAAAAACAGAAAGATCCCTTAGGCATTTTGTGAAGTTGATAGCTACTAGTTTCAAGCATCTCTGTTGAGTTTTTTGGGTTGTTCTTAATATTTGAGTTGTTGTTGTTGTTGTTGTTGTTGTTGTTGTTGTTATTGTTGCTGTATGTTGTTGCTAAATTTCTGTTGCTGCACTGCTGTATTTTATTATTCTGCAAACCAGGTAACTTTCAAATTCTTATATTTCAGATTCTTTGTGATAATAAGAAGGATTTGATCCCAGTCTGGATTGACGGAATATGTTAGATCCGATTATTTATTGCTTCAAGATAAATATTATATTAGTCTTATTATCATGTAAATCTTTTAAAAATTAGTTAAATTAACTTTTCTCCTTTATGTATGTGATTGAAATTGCATTCTTTTAAGTTTACTTAGTTTAAGGAAAAGATAAATACCTTATTTTTAACCATGCTTGTTTGGTTTGAGATCTTTTATGTGAATTACTTTTAAGGTTCATATATAACTAATTAAAAATATTATATTAGTCCTTAAGAAATAATTGATTAAGGAGATAAAGAGCAAATGTAATAATTAGCATGTAAGTCTTTTCCATGCTTGTCATTTTGAAATAATTCATGTAATGTCATGGGCTGCTTTCCAGACACGCCCCATGACCCCTTGGTCGCGCCCCATGGCGGCCTAGCAAGCCTCACAATGCCTAGCGCCATGGTCGGCCCCGTGGTCTTGGCTGCGCCAAGTGACAAGCGCGCATGCGCCTCTGTCGCCCCACCGATGCCTCTCGCCAGCACCCAGTGGCTGGCCAATGACAACAGCGTCGCGCGCCCTGACAATGCCGCGCGCGCAGATCCTGATGCCTCGCCAACGCCCAGCTGCAGGCCCATTCCAGCAGCACCTTGCGCACAGACCCTGATGCCAAGCACCAGCGCCCAGCCTCAGGCCAGAACAGCAAGTGTCGCGCGCGCCCACAACAACGCGTGCGCAGACCCTGACCCGCAAGACAAAGTTGCTGCCATCGGACTTAGTTCTACATCGTAATAAACTAAGTCCTTTTCATTGTAATTATAGGCTAGTTTACATCATTTTCATTCAGTGTGCTTCCACAACTTTATTAGGACTAGTCATGTAATGTTAGTTTATTTTTTTCAAGCATTATTAGGGGGGATCAAACAATCAAACATTTTCAAGCAAGCAATTTTCTGTACTGGTGTCTCTCCTCCTCGACACCACATCTTTTGTAATCAACATTTCAGTCATCAATAAAATCCTCATCATCATTCAAAACTCAATTCTCTCTCAGCTTCCGCAATTGCTCGTGACATTAGTTTTCCCGCACGACACTGACAATCTAGTCTAGCGTGCGGAGGGGACCTCATTGGCGGACAACAACCATACTGACATCGGTTGCTTAGCCTTACGTTGCCCTTCCAAAGAACATCAGGAAGGCGTTGCGTAATAATAACCATGCTTGTCATTTTGTGTTGTTTTGGTCTTTGAGGTTTTAAAGCAACATGGGTCAAATAAGCTAAAATCTTCGGGCCCAATGATAATAGAAAGTAAGATAACTTTTCTTTAAAATTAATAATTTGTCTTTGTTAGATAAAATAAGTGACCCAACATGAAAGTTTAGCAATAACTTACCTAGATTTAATGTCCAACAATAGTTAAAAAAATAAATAATATATATATTTAATAGTATTTTTTTGTCAAATAAGTAATAGTAAAAAAAAGAGTTTAAGCTTTCTTCATAATTTTTTTTAAACGCTAGGCAACTAGTAGGCGCTTTTTGACAATTTAATATTATTTAAATATTTTATTTATTTTTATTTTAATAAATAAAAGGGACATAGGAAAAGCATAAAAATCAAATAAATTACAGTATATCCAAAATTAATTTAAGCCAAATATAGCCAATAAAGCGACCGTGTTAGAATCACGGGACTCGGAGAATGCCTTACACTTTCTCCCCGGTCAACAGAATTCCTTACTCGAACTTTGTTTTCGCAGACCGATAAAAAATAGAGTCAAATTTTCTTTTGACTAGGGATTCAAATAAAAGGTGACTTGGAACACCGAAAATTCAATTTCAAGTGGCGACTTGTAAATAAAATAATCCCTACTCAAGTTTCTTACTTTAATTGGAGAAACTCTTTAGGTTCCATAACACCACATATCTTTTTGGAGGGGTAAAAAAGGGGTGTGACAATTAGCATATGTAATATAAACTTGTACTAATTAGTTTTAGCTTCTTTTCTTTTTGGTAAAAAACTGTGATAATTAATCCAGGATGTGTAAATTATTTGTATTAAATTATACATAATCATGTAACGGATTAAAACAAATTTTAATTGATCTCAAAAGCTTAAAGTTACTAGTAGGTTATTACTTAGCTTCAAAGATAAGCATGGAAGAAATTAAATTGCGATAATCAAACTTTCAAAAATAAATTAAGTAATTATCTTTACATAATTTCTAACGGATTCGTGTACACCTCTATCTTCTCTGCCAAGCATAAGCCAAGTCATAGTAAAATTAGCTGAGTCATGACCAAATGTCGATATAAAAAAGAAATGATGTTCTATATACCTAATACGTTTGTCGTTATAAACTTGTGTGACATTTTGTGATGTAACATATTTGTATCGTGTCCGAAACTAAGAAGTGGATATATAGCAAATAATATAATACGAGTTTGAAAATTCAGAACAGAGATTAGTCTTCAGTACTTAGTAGCTTTGGCGGATGGCAAACTTACAAGAGAGTTCATACTTCTAATGAATTGCTAATTAATGACCACCAGATTTTGGCTTTACGTGTCTACACATACACACTTGCACAAAACAAAATTCTTTTGTAGAATTCGCCAGCCTTAATCAAATCAGGTAACTTTTAATTTTCTTCTCATAATTTTCCATTTTTTTTTTAATCAATCAATCACAAAAGTCTCCGTACACATTATCTTATAATTTTCCATTTTGGTATTGCGTCTTACAGTTTTTTTTTTTTTTTTTTTTTTTTTTTTTTTTTTTTTTTTTTTTTTTTTTTTTTTTTTTTTTTTTTTTTTTTTTTTTTTGTGTGTGTGTCTATTTTTGGTTGTTTAATTGGTAGCATCATTTTGTTTCGATCCAGACACGGATAAACTTATTACTTTATTTTTGTTGAGTTTTGTTTTTTTCACTTAAATGAGAAATTTGGATTTATTAACCTTGTTGGTCGTTACTAATGCAGTTGTTAATAAATTCTATTAGAATGGTATGCCTTTGTGTTATATTTATTCTACCTATCTTATTAAATTGTTCACATATCCTACAATATTAGTATGACTTGATACTATCTTCATTGTACGTATCATTTTAATTTGTTTACAAGTCATATCAGATCGTCATTGACTTTGTACTATATTCTTTATAATTATATTGATAAATTGTGGATTGTTATGACTTTGTGCTATATTCATTATTATATATTGTTAAATTGTTCACAAGTTCTTCCAAATTATCATGACTTTGTAATTGTTACATTATTCACAAAATGTTATCCACGCTTAACATAACTTTATGCTATATTCATTGTAGCTATCTTGTTAAATTATTCATAAATCTCGTGTGATTGGCAAGACTTTGTGTTTGTTCAATTGTTTATAAAATCTTCCTGGATTGTTATGACTTTGTACTATTATTCAACAAGGTGTTCTACAAATCTACAATTACAATTTCGAAAAAATCACCCAAAATATGCTGTAAATGATCTCAAATTTAAAACAAAGCCTCCAAACACCAACACGAATGATCCCTCAATAAATAATTTAGTCAAATGACACCAAATCAAGAAGATAGACTTTGTCATCTTAAACACAATCTAAGGACCAACCATGAAGTTTGGAAATTCTTCAAGCAAATCAGTACTTTAGTGTTTGAGCTAAAGGTTTATGCATAATTAATCATTACTCATACAATTTTAACAATAAGAAATTATTAACTTCAAATTTCTACCTTCAAATAAAAGTTTCGAGCTTAAAATTGAGGAATCGTGATGTTCTTGGTGATATTCAAGTGCAACCACATAATATTTGATACTTTTTGTAATGA